AAATGAGTTTGAATAGGAAATATAGCAAAATGCATAGGAAATGTAGTCATTGACAAGGTTAGAAATAAAGATTTGTAATTGAAATAATAATTGTGTCCTTCAAACTTAGCTTTCGTCAAAGAATCCTCCATTTGTAGCAATTACAGCCTTGCAGACCTTTGGCATTCTAGTTGTCAATTTGATGAGGTAATCTGAAGAGATTTCACCTGATGTTACCTGAAGCACCTCCCACAAGTTGGATTGGCTTGATGGGCACTTCTTACGGTCAAGCTGTACTCACAACAGCTCAATAGGGTTGAGATCCGGTGACTGTGCTGGCCACTCCATTATAGACAGAATACCAGCTGACTGCTTCTTCCCTAAATAGTTATTGCATAGTTTGGAGCTGTGCTTTGGGTCATTGTCCTGTTGTAGGAGGAAATTGGCTCCAATCAAGCGCCATCCACAAGGAATGGCATGGCATTGCAAAATGGAGTGATAGCCTTCCTTCTTCAAGATCCCTTTTACCCTGTACAAATCTCCCACTTTACCACCACCAAAGCACCCCCAGACCATCACATTGCCTCCACCATGCTTGACAGATGGCATCGAGCACTCCTCCAGCATCTTTTCATTTGGTCTGCGTCTCACAAATGTTCTTCTTTGTGATCCAAACACCTCAACCTCAGATTAGTCTGTCCATAACACTTTTTTCCAATCTTCCTCTGTCCAGTGTCTGTGTTCTTTTGCCCATCTTAATCTTTTATTTTTATTGGCCAGTCTGAGATATGGCTTTTTCTTTGCAACTCTGCCTAGAAGGTCAGCATCCCAGAGTCGCCTCTTCACTGTTGACGTTGAGACCGGTGTTTTGCGGGTACTATTTAATGAAGCTGCCGGTTGAGGACCTGTGAGGCGTCTGTTTCTCAAACTAGACACTCTAATGTATTTGTCCTCTTGCTCAGTTGTGCACCGGGGCCTCCCACTCCTCTTTCTATTCTGGTTAGAGCCAGTTTGCGCTGTTCTGTGAAGGGAGTAGTACACAGCGTTGTACGAGATCTTCAGTTTCTTGGCAATTTCTCGCATGGAAAAGCCTTCATTTCTCAGAACAAGAATAGACTGATGGTTGCTGTCGAGTTTCAGAAGAAAGTTATTTGTTTCTGGCCATTTTGAGCCTGTAATCGAACCCACAATTTCCGTGCCATTGGAACACAGGACTGATGGTTGCTGATAATGGGCCTCTGTACGCCTATGTAGATATTCCATTAAAAATCAGCCGTTTCCAGCTACAATAGCCATTTACAACATTATCAATGTCTACACTGTATTCCTGAACATCGCATCCACTTGGAGGATTGCAAAAGGGTAATTACTGCATTTTAAAATATGAAACCGAAATGCGTCACAATGCAACTTGACCAAACATTTCCTTGACACATTATTATTCTTACGCACAGTAAATATTCATGATACTGGCAAAAGAGGAAAAGAACAACAGTATATACCTTTAGGATAAATGAATTACTAGATATGGGGAAACATGAACGCGCTAAACAATTGAAGGGGAATTCAATAATTAGTGACGAGAGCTACTGAGTCAGCTTGGTCACAGTGAGAAAAGAGAGAATGGACTGAAATAGAGCGTAACGGAAGATAGAGGACAGAGGGAGGAATGGCAGGGAAGAGGAGAGAAAGGGAGAAATGGGAGATAGTGAAACAGAGTAGGATACACAAGGGCCACAGTAATCAGCTCCAGAACCTGTCACACACCTGTTGCCTCTCTGTGCCCTATGCAGAGCTTCCAGGAGCCCCAGGGAGCTGAGGAAGAGGCCAGTGAGGAGGATGAGGAGGAGGAAGATGAAGAGGAAGACGATGACATCACCAGCGCTGAGTCAGACGACAGCGAGGAGGAGGAGGTCCCAGGAGCTCCCAGTGTACAACAGGGCAGCAAGAGGGGCCAGCTGGACTGGGACAACGCTACATTAACCTGCTGAATACAATCACACATACACACTGACGCACACACAAACACTAATGTACATACACACACGCTGAGGCATCAACATACACACTACCATAAAATCAATTGTTTAATCATGAGAGACTACCTAAGATTTCTTTCAATTGAGTTAACATATCCCCCTACTGGTGAAAATGGAGATGGGGATGAGAATAGAATGAGCACTAAAGTGATAACACACACGTCAAACACACACACACACTCACTCACTCACTCACACATACGCACGCGTCAAACACACACACACACACACACACACACACACACACACTCACTCACATACACACACACACTCACACACACTCACTCACATACACATACACACTCACACACACTCACTCACATACACACGAACAACGCCAACCTGTACTCCATTTAAAAAGACTCCTTTCCTTAATGTCAAACCATCTGGTGTTAACTAAAGGCTTAGGCTACCCTGTGGTACTCCAATGCAGTAATACGATCCTGTGGTCCTGAGTACCCCAGACCTCAAGCCCTAGTCCACAAGCTGACAGCTTACCTACTGTTTTATACTGAGACTGTGAAAAAAATCAAAATAAATGTTCAAATACTGTATACAACTGAAATTGTTTTCCACCTATTTTTCCAGGGTCTAAAATCTTGTCTGAGAAACTGTGGTCCTATAGGTCGCTGTGATCCTTTGTAATGGTTTCTTTCCCATAGGCCCATAGTGGTACAGTCCACTGTGCTAGAGTTAGTGTGGTACAGTGGGATAGTGAAAATGTTACAGTCCAATATAGGGGAACTCCTTCAAACCTTACCTTGGTATCTGTGTACAGTATATCATACCTTCTGTCCATTGCATCGAATGAAAATGTAAGTCAAAATAAGACAAAAATATTATTGCAGTATTTTAATACCTGAAAAATATTTTGGGGTTTATTGCAATGGAATATATTTTATTTAGCACTGCTAATTTAAGCCTGGATGAGGTGTCCAGGTGATTTTAAAGAGATATGTCGTAACCCAACGACACTAAACGATCTTTATTTGTTTTTTGATTGATGTGCTGTTGGAGATGTTGTACTTACCTGAGGCATAGTCATGCAGGTGCAATATTACAGAATGTTCAGATAGAAAGGTATTGCATGGAACAGACACGTTTCTCTGTCATGCAAAACAATAACCATGTCAGCTCTATGCATTTAAATTCTATCTTCAATATTCTGTATATACATTGCACCCAACTGAATAAACACCCAGGTGAAAGATGACTTTTTCTGTTCTGTTTTTTGGACACACTACGAGAGAGGAGGAACCTTGTACATTTTTATATGTTCCTCTTACCTGTAAATACTGATTAGAGTAGGTGACCCTGCCCTGAACCTAGTTAAGCCCCTCCCTCTGTTAATCTGTATGTATGCACATAACCCCGCCCATGTCAATTAAATCTTTACATATCACACCAAACCCCGCCCCTCTCTCTGTGTTTGTATCTCAATGTTCAGTTCATTCCAAATGGCTGTGCTTTCTGTCTCTGCTAAGACAGGCAAGTTAAACCAACTTAAGCCCAATTTAAACTGGCTAATGGGCATGTATAAGGCATTGTCTTCTATCTTTCTGTAGTCAATACCAGCAACCCCCCTTCCCCCTATCTTACACAGTCTGCCTAATATAAAATGTGACTTTACCTGGCATGAACAGAAATTGAAAGTTTCTATTTTCTTCATTTGGGTATTTGACTTTGTGACCCTGCTTGATGTATTCCTTTCCAGGGATAGTCCTTCGGTTCTAGCTGGGAGAACCCTGTCTTGAAGAGCCTGTGTATAGCTAGCTACATGTTCATGTAAAGTTTTCAACAGTTGTGTAGGGTTACACCTGTGCTTGTGACGTGAGACCCTGTCCCCAACCTCCACCATGTTACTTTCAGCTCCTGAACCCCTCTCACACCTGTACCCCTACCCCTTGGAACCTTTGCTGGACTTTGCATCAACCCTCCCCAATGTCTCTCCCAACGTTTGTTTTAGAAGAAGAGGAGGAAGGTGAAAATAAATATGAACCTTGTAAAATGTGTAAAACCTTTTTTTAGTTTTTCTTGACGTTTTCTTTGGACTGTTTTTCTTAGTTTCCTTTGGATGGTCACTACAGCACTTTCTGTAAATTGACCAATAAAGAGTTGTTTTAGAAAACAGAAAACAACTAGGCCTATAGAATGTGGGAATTAAAATGGGGTGGGAAATACTCATTAGAATCTGTGTCTCTCTTTCATTCTGCAGTCACAGATCAATTTGTTCAATACAGAAAACAACTAGGGGGAATTAAAATGGGGTGGGAAATACTCAGCAGCGGGGTCACTAGTTAGTCATATAGTTAAGACTATGGACATTTCAGGCAATGGCATTTCAAAGCTATGAAAGGTATTAGGCCTATCTAACCGTTTAAACTGAGGGCAATACTCAACACAGCATCTTCATAGCCCGAAGAGGAATCACCTGCAACTTCTGATTTGAAAGTTCAAATTTTATCCAATGTCTCCATCTAGTGGATATTTCTAGTGGTGTGTTGATTGGTGGTGTTTTATCAACTTTTTCCTCACTGAGGAAATAGGCTATAGCGGACCTATTATAGTGCTTGGAATTTCCTCGCGTTACGACATGATTCGGCCGCCGCGGACGCTGCTATAATCACGTCATAGACCGCCGCAAGTTTACGTCATAGTAAAACAGCTTAGATATTCCCGCAAGATTCACATTTTGATCACACACATCAGACGTGCTGAAGAACGTAAGTGCCTCAGTAGCCGTCCATCTGCAATCCAATTAAAAATGCAAAATAATTAACCAGATTAGGCTAATTGTGTTAAAGTGTCAACATTGGGCAATTAAATATAAAGATCTCTATTAGAATTTGCAACCAGAATGGAGGCTAATAAATGAAATATAAAGTAGGCTAGCCTAATGAGTGACATCAAATAATGACTTTGTTTTCATTAGGATATCTCAGCGCATGAAATACAATTAGGAATCAGTTATCTAATACAGTTATGCCTGGTACTGATTCTGAATCTGGCTGTTGGCCGCGCTCGAGGTCTTCGAAGAACCGCTCCAACCCCAAAGCCAAACACGCGGGAAAGGAGATAGGGTATGAAGCCTGAAACTGATTTTTAAAAAGCCTAACAAGTGCTGAAGTAGTGCCAAATATGATTTTTATGTTTGCATGGACAGGAATAACAGTAGTAGTCATCTGAAAATGGCTGGCCTAGTTGTGGGGGGATGATATTGTAGTGTAACAGAGCATGGCGTTTGCGATGCCAGGGTTGTGGGTTCGATTCCCACCCGGGCCAGTATGAAATTTTTTATAAATGTATGCACTCACTAACTGTAAGTTGCTCTGGATAAGAGCGTCTGCTAAATGACTAAAATGTAATTTATGTAGGCTACATAGTATTTCTGACCCCTAAGCTTGCCTGTTACCCCTTCTAGCTCATAGAATGCCCAGACCAAAGCTGAGCTAGACCCGGTGACCCGCTCCCTGGCTCTCCACCTGTGCTGCCCAGCCTGTGACACCCTCCTCCTCCAGCCTGTGTCTCTGCCCTGTGGCCACTGCCTCTGCCAGCCCTGCCTGGAAGGTGTCCACAAGAAGCACTCCAGCACCAAGGCCTCTGATGCCCAGCAGCCCCAGCCCTGCTCCCTGTGCCCCCGCTGCCTGGTCCACTACTCCCTCCAGCCCGGCGGGGCCTGGACCTTCCCAGAGAACCTTCTTCTGGCCAACGTATCTGAGCAGCTCCTGGAGAGATTGGAGGGCCTGAGGCGGGTGAAGCAGCCCAAAAACACCCGGGCCAAGGAGACAGGCCTGAGGGTGACCGCCTGCAAGATCTGCTCTAAGCAACGCGAGGCCCAGCGCTACTGCCGCACCTGCGGCCTCAACTACTGTGCCAAGTGCCTGAGAAAACTCCATGGCAACCGGGCATTCCAGGCCCATGTGTTGACGGAGCCCGTGGAGGGTGGGTGCCGCGATCCGTGCCCCACCCACCATGAACGCTCCCTGTCCCACTGTTGCCTAGACGACGGAGCTCTGGGGTGCCAGGGGTGCATGGAACAGGGGCACCGGGGACACGACGTGTCACCCATCCATGAGGCCCGCGCCCGCAGGGAGGTGGGCATCCGCAATTCGCTGGAGCAGGCTGGGAAGGGTAAGGTCACGTCTACTACTCTATTGTTTCTGAGTCTTTATATAATTACAAGTTCCACTGAGGGCTGTTTTTGTTTGTATTCATTTTATGGATTTATGTTAATTTGAAGTCTTAATGTTGCTGCACCAACAGCGTTTGTTCAGTTAATTAGCTTTAATCTAGCAGAGTTAAGCTTTCACATCTAAAATACATTCTCCAAATCACATCTCTGTGAACCTCAGTAATGGCAGCCATTATGTCAAACATATTACTCCATTGTGCAACAGAGTAAACTCAAAGTAAATTAATTTAGAGTTAATACAGGAAGTTAAGTTTGTATCAGATGTTTATTGCTGCACCCCTGTCACGTGGCTGTAGTGAAGTCCCAGTGTGAAGCCGACATGGTGTCCATGGATCAGTTGAGGGCCCGGACGGGCTCTGACGGCGCCGAGCTGAGACGCCGCGTGCGCGAGGGCTTCCTGTCTCTCCGTAATGTCCTGCTAGACCAGGAGGCGGCACTGCTCTCCCACCTGGACAACCTGACCTCCAGCACCCGCAGCAGAGCCAGGGACTTCCTCCAGACCTCTGCCCCACTCCTGGGCTCCCTGACTGGGCTGGAGGTGATCTCTGAGCAGGCCCTCCTGGAGCCCGACACAGTGGCCTTCCTGACCGGGGCTGTGGCGCTGACTCAGTGGCTGCAGAGGGTCAACAGGGACATCCACCGCCCTGCCCTGACTCTCCAGGAGGGGGAGCCCTTCAAGGGGGTGAAGATGGACTTTGATGCCCTCCTTAGAGACCTGCAGGGCCTGCTGGGGACCCACCTCCACTGGAAGAGCCCAGAAGTGGCTGCAGTGGTTTCCGTGGTGAACGGCGTGGAGGCAGCCGTTTTGGAGGGGTGCTGCGAGGTGGTGCCGGTGCCATCCTGCCCAGGGACCCCCCACCGCACCCGGGCCCTGGCGGACTCCCCCCGGAGCCCCCGGACCCCCAGGAGCCCCAGGAAGCTGGTGATGGAGGAACAGCTGTGCCTGCTGGCTGGGGACTGCAGCGATAAGGAGCGCCACCTGCTGCCCAGGCCCCCCATCATCTACCAGCACATCGTCAGCGGAGCCACTGTGGAGGTACAGTTGCACAGTAACTAGGGGCTTATTCAGAAATTAAACTTCAAATGTATTGTTTTATATCTATGTAAAGTTATCCAATATGATGATAACTCTCTATCTGTCTGTGTAGATCTTCTGGATGCTGCCCATGGGCGAGGAGGTGGAGACCTTTGACGTCCACTTCCAGGATGCTCTTATCGTGGGGATGGCCATGGAGGAGGGGAAGGGAGTGGTCCTGGTGGGGCTGAAGACCTGCAACCTGCAGACGGCCGGGCTCCGCCTAGACACACACTACCTGTTCCGGGCACGCTCTGTCAACAGCCACGGGGCCGGGGATTGGAGCTCCTCCTACAGGGTACGATACTTGACCAATGACATTCACTGACTGACTGTGAGCCCAATCCTATTTTTAGAAACAGGAGTATTACTGACAACTAACTTGAGTTGTGTTCATGTTGTCATTGTTCCCAGGTGAACACCGAGCGCCAGGGAGACGAGGCCAAGGCAGCCGTGACACAGGAAATCTAACTCTTACAACAGGAAATGAACATCCCACACATCAAATGTCATACTACATATGTCTACTTACAATCTGCCTTTTACACATACCACTTTACATTATCAAACAGAAACATACATTGCATAATACAAATAAAGCAAGCCACATTGAAAACGTGAGTTATTCCATTTTGTCACCCATCACAATGCACACCTTAACTAATTCACCTGGATAACTAAAGGTTAAAACAAATTACATTGACAATGTAGCTCAGCTGGTAGAGCACAGCACTTGTAACGCCAAGGTAGTGGGTTCGATCCCCGGGACCACCCATACACAAAAATGTATGCACGCATGACTGTAAGTCGCTTTGGATAAAAGCAACTGCTAAATGGCATATTATAGTCTTTAGTCAAGTCTCGGTGCCCAACGCAAACAGTGGAAATCCTTCTTTAATCACCTATGAAACAAAACACTCATTAGCATCAGGCTAACGAGTCCTAGGTGACCCTCTCATTATACAACATTAAATAATTACCTCCTATTACCCCCAGAAGCAACAGCAGCACTCTGCTATTACAGCCCACACCACTCTCAAGGACATGGTAATCCACTCATTCTAATTAAAACACTGCTGAATGTGCACTGTCCGGAAAAATTATGTAAGATATATGCTAATGAGTGGATAGAGTGTCACGTAGGTGTTACATCGTGGTGTGTGTGTGTGTGTGTGTATGTGTGTGTGTGTGTGTGTGTGTGTGTGTGTGTGCGTGTGCGTGTGCGCGTGCACGTGTGCGCGTGTGCGCGTGTGTAGGGTTAGTAGTGTTTGCGAGAGAGGAGTGTGTGACAGTTGTTTGGCTGATTACCGGTTCACCGGTGCGTGGTTGGTTATATGAGGGTTGGTCTGGGTGATAGAGTCTGTAGTGTGAACATGGTTTCAGTGCTGTAATATGAGTAATCTGCTCCACTATGAGAGGCTGTTAACCTGCAATATCACACTACATTTTTTTTTTTAAGTCACTGTCCTGCAAAGTCACTACTGGCATCACTCTCTTTCTCTATATTTATTTCTCTCTGTCTCTCTCACACACACACTTAGGCTGCATTTACACAGGCAGCCCAATTCTGATATTTTCCCACTAATCGTTATTTTGACCAATCAGATCAGCTGTTTTGTCAATAATTGGGCAAAAGATCAGATTTGGGCTGCCTGTGTAAACGCAGCCTTATAGTGCTGTCTTTCTCATCAGCTTTTCTGTGTTCTTTGCCGAGGTGTACACTTTGATCATAATCTAATCTAATCTTTCCTCTTTTCTTCTAAATCTACATACTGCAATCATCTTATCAATCATCATCCTTATCATCATCGTTACCATAACCATTGTCTGTGAAGAAAGAGAGGATTGATTGGCACAGTGTTATTTGAGGATTCATCAGAGATAATGCTGTAATTTTACCTGCTTTTGTACTGTAGGAATATGAGAATGTGACTTGAATTGAAATGTTACAGTGCAGTAGGCCTGCTCCTAATGGACAAGTGAAATGGTTGCAATTACCAGAATTGGACAAAAGATGGCAAATATTCAGCATCAACAAAAAAATAAAACTACTCTATACTTCCAGTTGAGTTTATTATGACAAGGTTTCGACCTTCATCAGAATTTTTGCTGATGATCATGATTGTATAATAACAGATTGTAGCATGCAAAGTCAGAGGAAATGGGACTCATGCCGAGCACAAGTGACTTGCATACATTTGTAGGGCTGACGTCAGTACAAACACAGCAGGGGTGATGTTTGTGGACACAGAGGGAGAATCTTAATTGTATACTCCTCGTGTCCCCTCTCCTCGCCAACTTCTCAAAACCCATTGGATGAGAAAGCCAGAAGTCCCGCCCCTCTGACCTTCTCCTCCAATGGGTTTTGAGAAGGAAGAGAGGAGAGAGGACGCGAGGAGTAGGCAATTGAGATTCTCCCATACAGTAGAAACCAGCCTGTGATCCTTTGGCACAGTGACTCATTGTTAATCCATGCGTGCGTGCATTATAAGATTGTGTTCGTTTGTAAAGTCAGGAGGCCATACACTCATCCAAAGGTGTTGATGTCATCTGCAGAACACACAACACACACACACACACACACACACACACACACACAAACACACACTGCTGTAAGGGGTTTAGGCAATGTCACCGGTACCACCTCTAATTACTCTGTGTATGTGTGTGTGTGTGTGTGCGTGCGTTCTATTTTCTTCTCAATCTCCTCCATCTCTCAACATCTGTTCTCGCAGTATTCAGTTATGCAAAACTCATATTTATTCAAGAATAATAAGGGATGTAGAAGAAGCGATAAGTAGGAGGTAGGAAATGAAGCAGTGGGAGAGAGGGAGATGGAGAGATGGAGAGAGAGAGAGAGAGAGAGAGAGAGAGAGAGAGAGAGAGAGAGAGAGAGAGAGAGAGAGAGAGAGAGAGAGAGAGAGAGAGAGAGAGAGAGAGAGAGAGAGAGAGAGAGAGTTAAAGAGAGTTAAAGAGAGTTAAACGAGAGTTAAAGAGAGTTACAGTTAGATAAGGGAGAGCACCATACTGAGAAGTGTGTTTAATGTTTATCTGTCCTGCTGGTATACAGCATGTGGAGTATAGTATCTACCCTCTGGCTAACTGGAGTAGACACCTACACAAACATATAATCTTTTTTTATCATTCCACTGCTAGCTCACTATGACTAGAATGGACAACACCTTCAATACACACAAACAGTACCAATAGTATGATAGGCCAATCTCAATGCAACACCTTCAACACATACTGTATACTCAATGTCCGAGCCGCTACCCAATGGCACTTAATCGGAAAGGATATGTGTTATTGGTATAGTAGTAAATCCACTATCCAATCCTCCCAGAATAACTACAGCGCCTAGAGGTAGTGGCTAGGACTTTGTTTGGAATTGGGCATCAACATACACAGTAACACCACAACACCCCTGCAAAAACAGATGCAGCAAGCTGCTAAGCTGTATCATCATTTTGGAAAAGGGAGGAAGGAGACAGAGAGAGAGAGAGAGAGAGAGGCTGTTGTTTGACGTTTTCCCATCGTTGTCGATGGGGATTATCTCAAACAGGCTTAGTAGATTACTCTTAGGGGCTTGTGTTTTTGTTTTCTTGGCTAAATAAAGAAACTATTCTTCTGCACATCTCTGGTGCTGTGCTCACTCCGAGAACTAACAAGCTAGAAGGAGAAGAAAGAGCCCATCTTCTTTCTCACCCTTCCTACTCTCAAAAGTATACTTGATGTCAATCTCTCCCCATCTCCCTCTATCCTTTAATGTCACTTCTCATTGCCTGCCTGTCTCTCTGAATCCCTTCTCTTCTGCCCTGCTATCATTTTTCCAGCATTGCAGAGGCACCTCCCATCTTGCAGAGAAATAACTGGTGGGAGAGGGAGGGTGAGTGTAAAAGGACGAGGGGAGACACCAGTCTTCAATAAACCCATAGGGGAATCTCCCATTATCATCCTCTTCAGCAGTGACATACAGATAACTGCTCTGGGAAGGTGAGCCACTGGAAGTAGACGTTACTCATAAACACATTTTAACGACCAGCTTCCCCTTCCCCTAATCCTAACCATTAACGACCAGCTTCCCCTTCCCCTAGTCCTAACCATTAACGACCCGCTTCCCCTTCCCCTAATCCTAACCATTAACGACCAGCTTCCCCTTCCCCTAATCCTAACCATTAACGACCAGCTTACCCTTCCCCTAATCCTAACCATTAACGACCAGCTTCCCCTTCCCCTAATCCTAACCATTAACGACCAGCTTCCCCTTCCCCTAATCCTAACCATTAACGACCAGCTTCCCCTTCCCCTAATCCTAACCATTAACGACCAGCTTCCCCTTCCCCTAATCCTAACCATTAACGACCAGCTTCCCTTAATCCTAACCATTAACGACCAGCTTCCCCTTCCCCTAATCCTAACCATTAACGACCAGCTTCCCCTAATCCTAACCATTAACGACCCACTTCCCCTTCCCTTAATCTTAACCATTAACGACCAGCTTCCCCTTCCCCTAATCCTAACCATTAACGACCAGTTTCCCCTAATCCTAACCATTAACAACCAGTTTCCCCTAATCCTAGCCATTAACGACCTGCAAAACCACATCACATAAGGGAGGGTGAAATCAGGGACCCTGAATAAAAATCCTTCCTATTCTTTCTCTCTCTCTACTTTCTCAGATGATCCCGCAGGTGAAGAAGCAGGATGTGGAGGTCCTGGGCTGGCGTGGTTACACGTGGTCTGCGGTTGTGAGGCCGGTTGGATGTACTGCCAAATTCTCTAAAATGACGTTGGAGGCGTCTTATGGTAGAGAAATGAACATTCAATTATCTGGCAACAGCTCTGGTAGACATTCCTACAGTTAGCATGCCAATTACACGCTCCCTCAAAACTTGAGACATCTGTGGCATTGTGTTGTGTGACAAAACTGTATTTTAGAACTGGCCTTTTATTGTCCCCAGTACAAGGTTCACCTGTGTAATGATCATGCTGTTTAATCATCTTATTGATATGCCACACCTGTCAGGTGGATGGACTATCGTGGCAAAGGATAAATGTTCACTAACAAGGATGTAAACAAATTTGTGCACAAAATTTGAGATAAATAAGGTTTTTGTGAGTGTGAACCATTTCTGGGATATTTTATTTCAGCTCATGAAACCAACACTTTACATGTTGCGTTTATATTTGTGTACAGTATATTAAGTTGTATTTAGGCTAGCTGCATAATATAAATTGACTCCCGAGTGGCGTAGTGCACTGCATCGCAGTGCTAGCTGTGCCACTAGAGATCCTGGTTCGAGTCCAGGCTCTGTCGCAGCCGGCCGCGACCGGGAGACCCATGGGTGGCGCACAATTGGTCCAGCGTCGTCCAAGGTAGGGGAGGGTTTGGCCGGCAGGGATGTGGGTTCGTTTCCCACGGGGGCCTGTATGGAGAAAAAAAAAACATGTATGCATTCACTAACTGT